TGAGTACGGCTTGAATAACGAAAATATCTAGATTGTTCATGTAAAACGTAAGGTGCACTGCAAAATATGTATTGCCGTCTACGGTTGTAATAGTGACAGCCAACACACAAGTGAAATCTGTTTCTTCAATTTTCCAAAGGGCAAATCGGTAGATCAGCAATATAAGAGAAAAGCGTGGATTGAATTCTGTATAAGCGCAAAACATTAAACCATCGTCGCCACGAATCACGATGTGACTAGAATATATGCTCACTTCATTTTGCCGAAGATGCGTATGAACAAGGACAGTCGCCAAAGTTTTTAAAACGAATACAGTGCAATGAAACGTTTAGAATACAATTGAAAAGGGAAACGTTGCCAAGTAATAACGTTACTTACAGTACATACTAGCTTAACTTCAATTGCGGTATACTATTTCTACAATGGATTGACATATAAAGACACAAAACAGCGCACGCGGCACGCATTATACGCGTGCACCTAATATACAATATTTAACGGCATGGTCTACATTCAATACACCGTTGAAAATAAAAGAAATCCATTAAATAAATGATTATAAGTAAACCACAAACCAAAGGTCCAAGACGCATGTAGAGGTCCTATATTTATACCTATCCCAAAATTAAAATATTGCTTGTTTTTCTCCTACTTCTGCTTCATATTGGTATGACAACACTTCTCCTACTTGGTTCTCGTGAATATTTCCATTAAAATGACTCAAAAGCATTAATTTTTTGAGAAAACGTATTAAATCTCGATACACGCTATACAAAAATATATTGTTGTTTTGATTCTACCCTGCCATCTACGTCATACGGGTCATATTACCCAAAAGATAATTTTCCGCAAATACGAGCCAAGATGGCCGACGATATATAAATTAACAGTGAAATAACATGCATATAACTCCTGAACAAAAATGTTTGACACGGTATTAATATCATATTTATAGTTAGATGAAGCAACACTTTTAATATAGACAATAAAAAATTTTGTTGCCATTGTCCTTTAAAAAATTAAGTGATGGATGAACTGTGAAGGAATGTAACTTTACTCTTTAGTTAACTTTGCTGTTATTGACTACACTAGTATAGGCTAGCAGCAATACTGTATAACAGTGTTAGCTGTCCAGGTTCGAACGAATTATTTACACTATACTAATACAATACATTACGTCATTAGAATGACAACAACAATATCAATTTAGAATGCTCAAGCAAATAAGTATGAAACCGCTCATGTTTAAAACATTAAACACATCATTATTCTTAATATTTTTTGTATAAATTATTAATTTTTGAAGTGTATTTTCCACGTGAATTACGTATTGTTAAGGAAATACTTCATGTTACTATGTTATGTTTGTCTAGGGAATTTTACGGAAATCTGAGGAAATTTTGAGAATTTTTTAGGCAAATCTAAGGAATTCTTAAATTTGATTGTGAGAGCCCTGATATACGGACAACATTGATCCAGTGATAATATTAGAAAAAAAAAGTTCCTGTTCCTCTAAGTATCATAGATTTACTAGTAGTAGTGTTTATACCATTTTTTTATTATTTTTTTTTAGACTCGCTTATCATTCCATAACAGACTGGAACAACTTGTACAGAAAGATAAAACTATCTACTAGTATTTCTACATTTAACTTTTAAGAGAAACTTTTTTAGCAATCTTTGAACTTTCCCTCGTATAATTTTTTAATATTTTTCATAGTTATGTAGTATACGCATGTCTTCCTTGTAAAATAGTTTATTTAGTTCAGGACCTTTCTGAAAATCACTTTGTAAGAAAGCTTCCTGAAATTAAATATTAATTTAAAAAAAAATTATTGTGCCTGCAAACTATACCGTAAGCAAAAAAAGGTTGGTTTAACATATTATAATACTGAAATGTAATTATCGTCATTTGTCTGAGTTGTTGGAATCCTTGTCCCTGCATTAATAAATACCTGTCCAATAATTAGCCCATGGGCTTATACACCTACAGAAGGGCTTATATTCAGGGGAGCTTATAGTTGGAGGTTTACGGTAGTTGAATCAAGCTGGATTTTAATACATATTCAGGAAAATAGATTAATGTTCTACCAATTCACTACCAATTCTAATGGTTCATAATATTATTGAGTTTGATACAACTTTATATTGACAATAAAGTTGTTTTTTCCATTCTATAAAATATATGTGGTTTTACAATTAATTGCCAGGCTCTTTTATTCATTTTTTAAATTAAGAGCTCTGCTTGGTATATGTCAATATAGCTACAGTATTGAAATGACAATACTGTAAAGTGTTGGGTGCTTTATACTATGAATATGATCATGAGGGAAATACTGTAGCAATAATTTGTGTCTTGGTATGTCAAGTCTCAAATGATATTTCCCTGTATGTTGTGTTATGGAATTGTGTTCAATGGAATATGGCATTCCAGGTGGGGGAATGGAACCCCCCTTTGCATCAGGACAAATTTTGCAATTCTTTCAGAACTGTCTAAAATGCATGAAATAATGTTTTGTAAGCCCTAAAAATAGAAAAATTCTCCAGGGGACCATACTCCGGATGGGCAGACGATTACACCCCCCTCATTTGGGCCTGGCTACGCCCCTGATTGCATTGGCTGTCATAAAACCAGGGGGTACAAAAAAGTAAAGCAAATGGCATGAAAGCAGGCCAGACTGCAGATCGAGTTGGGCAGTTTTGAACAAGGTCTTGGGGACCCAAAAGCTTCAATTCTGTGGGCAGGCATACAAAACTGTTTCCAGGGGCACATCAGGACACAATCAAGGGCACAAAAGGTAACAAATAGGTATTAAAAACATTGAAACTTTGAGGACATGTTAGATTTTTAAAGTTGTTTATATGAAGCACTCCCTGGAATGCTATCAATTTTCTGAAAGTCTTGGAGCCGTTCTGACCAACTCTGCAATCTGGCAACCAGGAAAATGCCCAATTTTCAATACAGTAAAACAGGGTTGAAGAATTTTAAATCCAAAATATTGTCCCTTGTGTTGTTAACTGAAATGCCAGCACTTTAACGTTCTGCAATACCTGTTTTGCTGATGACGAATCTGTAAACGTTGCATACACTGAATTACGCTTAAAAATAAAAAGGAAAAAATTTGGGAAGAAATTAGAAAATTATATATTTTTATATTTCTGTCTGATTTTTGTTGCAAAACTTGACAAAAATGGACAATGTCTTACCATTTTTCCCCTAGCTCCCATGCAAACAACATGTTTAGCTCCAAAGTATTGTAATAACGATTCTTTGTCGCTGTCTGTGAACTGTCTGGGCAGATTTTTAACAAGCAAATCTGCAGAAAGATGATCACCATGTGCGAGCGCCATTTTGTATACGGGGGTTTTCCTACCGGAGAAAATACCCTTTCTTAAGGGGGCTCTCCACTATCATGACCGATGAGTCAAATAAGGATGGCAGATTGACAGTTGCAACTCTCATTCTCGCGTTTGGACCGCCAACTCTCCTCGACTCTCATGCACACTGATCAACTTTCTGGCTGGCACATTACCGCACGTGTAGTGAAAATTCCCATGATGAGTGTAGGGCAGTGCAACTGGGCACGAATTCGCGTGTCGACTCTCCTCAACTCGCATGCAGAGTTGAGAACCCTCGCTAACCAGAACCTTTAAACACGGTTGTCGCTCGCCAAGAAAAGACATAGGATTATAAATAAAAAAATATAAATAAGATTTAAAGGGACTGGCTTGCACTCCTTAGTTCCATGGTCGATCAGTATCTTATGTAATTACAGATTTACAGTAGGTAGAAAGGGCATCATAGTGCGCATGGCCTTAGGAATCCTTATACTGTGGCCCTAGGGCTAGGCCCAAGAGCGAGCTCAACCAAAACCCAAAAACCAGTTGTGACAAACTCCTTTCTATAGTAGTCTTGGTTTAATTTATATCTTGGATTTCGGACTTTGTTTCGTCCTTGTTTCTGCCGGCTGGTACTGCAAGCAGGCTGCTGGTACTGGTTTATGGCGTCACAATATACTGGTAATCACGTACGGATATGAAAGTTGAAAGACTATTAGCAAATCAATTGTGTAGTGAAAGAAATTAATTTTGCCCCTTTTCAGGTCATTTAAATGAATAGAGATAAAACACTCCTTTCTTTTGATTGTGTCAGCTGTGCTAAATTGCCTGACAAATCGCCCCCAGTAAATTTGTCATGCAAGTGTTTTATACAGTGTCTTTGTAAAACAGAATATACGACGAATTCACAAGACAAAACAGTCAAAACTCAAAGTGATATTTTTACTGCCAGCGCAAGACGGCACGAATAAACCTCACGCATCGGATGGACTTGGCAATGTTCGACCTGTTTATTTATTAATTTCTTGTTAATTATGCAGCACGAGATTATGCGAACACAAAGAATTTTCTGTTGTTGCAATTTAATATTTAAAATTTATATTGCTCGCCAATTCGAAATATTACTCGGCAAACCATCAGCAATTTTACATTGCTAGTTTACGTAGACAGTTTAATGTAAAGATGAAGAGAAAAAAGTGAACACAATTTTTAAATCCATTCTGATAGGGATCATTATAAAAATATCGCACTTGAAATAAATTTAATGCTCATATAATGACAATAAAATAAGGACGGGATATTGCATTCGCCATTAAAACCACGACAATGCCAAAATTGGAAATGCTTACTAATGCATCATTTTATAACTCTAAATTCCTTCCGGTGCCCTTTCCCCGCAAAAATTTCATGAACAATGCAAATATTCTTAGCTAAATCATTAAATCACTTCCGTTCGTGCAAGGGCGCACTTTTTTTTTGGAGCCACAAATATCCAACATATTGAACATTAATATAAAAAGTCTTTTTATCACTCAATGTGCCAAAATTGGCGCTCAGGGCTGATTTTCCCGCGCAATTCAGCGTTGAGGCGCGAAATTGACAAACAGAATTGGGAAGTCGGCCAAAATTATTTTCAGGAAATTGTCTAGAAAATGTCAGTTTGCTGAGAGATTTATTAGTAATATAATACGATATATTACGGATGATATTATTTTGGTATTTCAACAAATTTTTTGTATTATTATAGTGGCTTATTTAAAACGTCATGGACTAGGGTAGTGTCTTTATACACCAGATTAAAAGAGGGAATTTAATTTCTCCTTTGCTGATAAGGTCACGGCTGTTATTTAATATCTTAATTCAATAACTACAAAGCGATAAATAATGGCAACTAAAACTCGAGATATAGCGCAATACTTTTAAATCTGAAATCGCTAGGATCGCTTTTTATGTCTCGAGAACAAGCAAAGTTGCGTGTCCACTTTTGTGGTTTTAAGTGTCAACAAAATTGCAGTTAGCATGCAAAGTAAACAATCTAAATAAACATACTGTGAAAGCCCAAGCTCTATCGAGCTCCAATCGACTGAAAAGTATCAAGTTATTCAAGTATTTCAATAGGAACGACAAAGAACCGGATTTTCAATGACGCTCACATCACATACACAAAAAACCACGCCTATAATTTCATGGCAAATAATTTGTGAACAAAAATTATCACACTTTTTCCTAAAGAAAACAAAGATCAAACAATACACCTTTCAAAAGAACATGCTTATTTTTCAAGGTCTAGTACTTTTTCCCAAGATCACGCAAGCGACTCTATTTAAAATTGAGTTTGAAATCTACATAGTTGTAGATTTCACAAAACGGAAATACGGAAGCGACGACAACAACAACAAAAGCTAGGCATGCTAGCAACGTTCATATTAAATCTCTATATTAAACATCCTTTAAACAAGGCAAATGAATACTAGTTTACACTTTATACCTTTTGTGGAAAGTTTGCACATTATAATATACCTAACTATGTTTTTGTTATGAAATGAATATTGTGTTACTGAGCGCGGCCTGAATACGGTCATACTGTATACACTCCCCAGATGAAAATCATATATAAATATCCACAAATCCTTTATGGGGATGGCCACACTGCAGCAGAAAGATGTTAAATCTGCTTATATTTATGTGTTGACGGAATTGCTAGTCCATTATGCACACTTATAAACTCGGATATCATGCCGTGTTCGTATTTTGTCCAATGTTTATTCCGCGCTTTTCTCACCTTCGTCTTTCGCGGGTTCATCAGCTTTAGCCGTTTCGTCAGGTTTATCTCCCTCGTCTTTTTTCTCTGCACATTCGTCCTTGTTCTCTTCGCTTTCGTCTTTCTTATCCTCGCTCGTCGTTGCTTCTCCCGAGGCTTCTGCTTCGCCATTCACTTGTGGGCTTTCTGCAGTCTCGCCGTTTTCTTTCGCTTGTTCGCCGTTCTCCTTCGCTTCACCTGCATCTTTCGTCTCGTCGCTTGGACTCGTGGGCTCGGACTTTTCTCCTTCTTTAGCAGGCTTTTTCGACTTTTTATTTCCACGGAAACTAAGGCGTTTCACGAGCGAGGGTTTGGGTTTCTCTTGGAATTTATCTGCACCACAAATTTCATCCCAGTTCGACCAATACTTCTCCTTCATACGTTCGTCGAAATCGTGTAGATTCGTGAGCTTATCTTTGATCAGATTTTGCTGAGGGGAACCTATGGTACCGTATTCGAAATTGGCAAGTAAACCGAATGCAACTGCATCGAAGCTCGAAGGATGCTCGCCCAGGAAAAATGCTTTCTCACTGAGGAACGCGGCCAGTGCACTCAGATCTTGCTCAGCGATATTGTACAGCTCCTCGCGATTGTGCCGCCCGATAACATGGCTCTCGATCGATTTCTTGCACTTATTTTGGAACATTTTGGGACTTACAACGTTCAATACAGGCGGTAGCTTGCTGAACATTTTCTTCGACTCGCCGTAGTTGTCAACCCAACGATAGTACATCAAACTCCAATATGTACTTTCCTCGATCATCGTGCGAAAGGCGTGAACGACAGCTTCGTCAGTTGGCGAGAGATGCTTATCCGTGTCAATTTCAAACTCTTTCTTGAGGAAATCAATACAGTTCTTAAGTCCTTCGACCTTATTTTTCTTGTATACAATATAAGGTATTTTCCCCTTGTTTTCTCTCGTGACATCTTGTGCCTTCTCTTCGTACTCGTTCACGTATGCTATGCCTGACATTTTAATATAGGTCTCGAGGGCAAGACATTGTGGGGAACGACTTACGATTTCTTTCATAGGCGGTAGTTGATGTAGGATAACTTTAGGTGGCTCTTCCTCGATTTCGGGGCTTGGTTCGGTTGCTTCGGCATTAGTTTCAGCGGGTGTTGCCTCGACATTTAACTCAATATTCGCTTCAACTTTGGGCTCTTCTGGCGCAGGACACTCCTCATCTCCGTTCTCGGTCGGTTTTTCTGGCTCGGGCTCGGCTACTTCGGCTTTCTCCTCGTCTTTATTGTCTTCTGCCTCGCCATTTTCAACAATGGTTATTTCTTCTGTTGTCTCAACAGTCGAATCCTGCACGTGGTTCTCGACCGTTTCGGATTCACTGCGTACTTCGGTCACATATGTGACTGTCTCGTGAGTTTTGACCGTGCTAATCACTTCGGATTTAACGCTGTATTCAACTTTCTTTTCGGCTGACACAAGCTCTTGGTTCGTCTCCTCGGCTGGCACAATTTCTTGAGTCTCCGTGGCCATGATCACGATTGAATGAAACGAGATAAAGAGCAAAGATCACACAAATACCCGACGCCAAAGCAAAGCAGAGTGTATGAACGGTCTTTTTATGAGCGCTTTGCAAGCTGGGTATACACACGCCTTGTATCGCCATAATAGACATAGTCCGTACGTTTCAACCAATCACAGGCCGCCTGCGGTCTCAGTCAACCTATCAGAGCGAGCCGCTGTATCCGCCAGGGAATTGTTTACGCAAAAAAATCTGTGATGCTTGTCAACCATGTCATAGACGCGATCAGGAAATGACAAACATTTGCATAGCGTTCACCACGCAACAGGGATTTGTACTCAATAGCGTAATATTCAGCGAACAAAAGCAATCGTACCGTGAGACGATAATTGTTTGCGCTTTATATTTTCTTAAGTCTGTCTCGTGCAAATAAAGTTTAAACTTGGATTGTCACAAGCTTTCGAAATTTGAGAGCAAAACAGATAGCATCACTTCAGTAAAGCAACGAGAATTTCTCATGAATCGAAACAAATTTAAAGAAGTTTTGTGGAAAATATAAAACAAGTTATCGCTAAATATCCAACAGCAGTTAACATACTATTGTAGACACAATATTGAATATTGATTGGGGCATATCATAAAATTCTGTAACGAATACGAGATTCTTAACTCTACTAATCCTATTGTATCAAATATCACGACAAAATGTGGCTGCCACAGCGCTTTCATTTCGGAACGTAAAACGATCTTTTGTAGCAAGCATTTGTAATCTTTGTCGAGTTTCTATGGGGGGAAATACCAAAATATTATCGGTGACATTTGTATTTTAAAACAATATCTCTAGGACTCCAGCATGTTCGAAGTTATTATTATTATTTTTCCAATATTCACTGGCTATCATTTATTCATAGTTCATCACTGCAATAGGGAAAATATTTTTTCATTAATGAAATGAGTGACTCAGCAAGCCAAGCCCCAATATAAATCGCACGAGAATTCTCTAATTCTCACACCGCAAACCTTCGAAAATGTTTGTAACATTTTTCTAATTCCTAACCTATATTTCGTATATTTATTTGTTTTTGTAGCGCTGCAAAACACGGCGAAGTATGGCAAATGTTAGTAATTATAAAGATGGATTAACGGAGAAAAATTTGCATTTCTAAATCCTGTTAACAGTCTCGTCAACACAACGCAAATGATATGAATAAATTTCGCTGATAAGTGCGAAAATGAGAGCAGAACACGTCCAGACTGATTGCAATGTATTTTATAAGGCACTTCAATTAAATATTGTTACAACAACTCGATCGACAAGAATTCTCATTAAAGCAATTCACGTGTTAATTGTATATTTAATAGATTTTTCACGCGTCCCAGTCAAATCACCCAGCAATTGTTGTATGAAATAAAAATATTTATAAACATATGTCTTCATTATCAACATGGGCGATTCGAATTTCTTTTAAAGGCGCGTCTAAAAATCTAAGGAATTTAAACGTGTTGACAGTATCATCTGCGCTGTACAATATAAATTGGCGGAAGTATTATGGGTCAGGTCGCAGAGATGAACACGACTGTAAACCATTTCCATGAGATATTTGGAATCAAATTCAAAATCCTTCATAAAACATTTTTTTCTATGTTATGTGTCGCGAGTTTTATTTCGACAAAGAATCGCTAATTCAGATATTACGCCATAAAATTATTCAGCAAATTTTTGCGGGTAGTTTATCCTTTAACCCGGAACCCAACCCAAAACACGTGATTTGGTTTAATTTAAGAACATTAATTTCCAATAAACTTCTTAATATGTTGTCGGAAATACTAACCAAGAATTTTATTCTATTTACTTTTTAAATAGGAAGGTCTCAGTAGGACATCGTGGTATGGGACGTGTATTTTACTTACTTTTTCAATTAGCAACTTCAAAACTAAATTGATGTAACTATATTAAAACTGTGATGCTTTTAAACGTATGTGTATATAAAGGCCCAGGGACCGGCGGAGCAGGAGAGCATGCCCATCGTTTCTTCGCCGAGCAATTGAGCAAAAGATAAATCATAAAATTGTTCCGCCAACTGTTCAGAATAAAAATTATCACTTTAATGATTATTTTCTGAAAGTAGATCCCAAATCGACCATCAAATAGCGGCGTGTAAATTATGGAAATATTCGCATTGGTAAGGGCAACGCCCGTCTTCTCCGAGTTCAGTTACGTGTCAGACTGGTAACGAGACTATTACACTTGCTGTTTTTGGTTATATCAGCTCCTACGATCAGTTCCGGACCACCTTATAGCTTTGATCTGGTGAAGAATAGCTACCGAGTTTTGCTTTTGCAAAAATATCTTTAGTTCTACAAAACACGAAAAACTCGAACTACGAGTCAAAAAACTCGAGTCCTGAATCCTTGTGATCATCATTAATATGTTGCATAATTATTTTCCAGACTTCAGATTGCTGAATCTGTTTACTGTCTGTACAGGAAATCGTAATCTAGCTCGATCGTAATAAAGTATTTTCAATAAAAAATGTTTACTCAAGTTATTAAGAGCCTAATGCCTAAGGCTCTGCAAATGTTTTCAGATCAGTAATTGATTATTGTGATAACATTAGGAGTAATTTACCGACTCGTAGTTTGGTATTGCGGTTTTCTATGGCTGCCTGAACCAAAGCATAAGAACAGAACTACCCTAGCAGCTATAGTGAAGTATCTCGGTGTCATTTGACTGGAGGCCGTACGTACATATAAAGATACATGACACAGACTTAGAATTAAGTGGAGTGATTAACCATGAAATAGGTTCTAAAGTGATCATTAAATGATTACACCAGAACATTAATAGTACACATTTTTGTAATCAAAGGATTTGTCTTTAAAGTTAGCTGGTTGAGTCACAATCTTTCTCATCGCCGAAATATAACATTTTAGAACTGAAAATAAGCAGAGTGATTATAACTAGAGAATACTTATTATTTAGGGAAGAGGTTATTTCGCTGGCCTCAGAGTGACAAAACGTAACAAAGCAACGATCGATTTTACTAACACTAACCCTATTTCAAACACCAACTTTAACCCTACCTAATCCTAACCCTACTCCAAGTTTGTTTCTAAACCAATCTTGAAGAAAAACGTTTTGACGAAATGTCATTCTGAGGTAAGCGAAATAACTGCTTCCATCAGTTAGATGCATGCCTATTGCCGCGCCACAGAATCATACATTCTTATTCACAAGATTATAAACAAGGAATAGGATTCTCTTTTGACCCTAGACACCAGGACATAACCCAACCCTTGGTGTAATTACTTACGTTCGTGGGAGGGCGGGGGCCAGGGGCGCCAAGATATTTTGAAATGGATATTAATAATATATCATCAACAATACAATGGTGATCGAGCGTATTTAAATGAAATCGAAAACTAGCTTGTGTGTATATAGGATATATCCAGTGATCATATTAAACCCATCAGCTTAATGATGGAAAACGATCAGCGAATATTTGCATATTTGCAATTTTTGAGATAGCGGCATAAGAGCTCTTTGAAGTAGTGACGCAGTAGGCAATCTTAAAGACATGCCAGTTTTAAATTAGAGCTGCTATAGTATTAAAAGTTTACACATTTAACCACACAGACATGAAAATTGCACGAAAATTAGACCATAATGGTAGAGTAACGCCCATTTCTGCCACCATGTCACTATAAGTCTAACCCTTTTTCACGCAAGCAATGAAGCAACCCTCCTTTAATTAAATGAACAATGTCACCAAAAATGTGGTGGCCAGCTAATTTTTTCGAGAGCAGCTCAATTAAATCTCAAATCATATGTAAACACAATGAACGATATATAATATATTGTAATTAACATTATAGTCAATATGCCTAATCTTCTCTTTGATTTATAGTTGGAGTATTTGATAGTGACATATATATTTTGCCAATAACGTATCAAATTAATGGCATCTCAAGTAGCTAAGTTATGCTGACATACACCTGACCCGCTGCTAGTCTAATATATTCCTATGGTAAACAAGACAAATAACACACCGTAGATAATGGCTTAAAATGTTTGTTCAATATTAACATTCCATACAACCTGGGGTGACTATACATATTGTATTTATTAGCGCGCATTTTTTAATTGCAGTCAAGAAGAACGGGCGGAAGCGTGGGGCAGAAATAGGAACCCAGATTTTTTAGATGCGATCACGGTTAATACAATGACATGGTTTGGCAAGCCGGCAAACTTCAAAGATGTTGTTGAAGACACAAACATGGAGGTTGAATAGGGTTTGAACCGACACAACATTTGAATCGCTAAACGATTGTCCAAAAACCATGCGGACCAGCCAACAATTTAAAAAAGTAAAGTAAAAAACAAATTCCGAAAAGACAAGACATCTTGAGAATACAATATATGATTCAAAACAAGAAGCAGGTTGAGACTGTGAATTTTCGACTTTATTTCAAAGTATTCTCATTTGTTTTTTTACTTTGCTAAACGATAGAACCCAAGCATCTTCTGTTGAAACACGCATGGTTATAAAATATCACAATTTCGTTGCAAGTTAAGATTGTTCAACTTCAAAACTTTGCTCAGGAAAAATTGGGATAAATGTTGCGAGAATATCATGTAGCATAAAATATATACAGCTAATTCAATTCAATTAAGGTTGTCCTTTCAAAAAACTCAAACCTTAAACTCTGAGCACGCAAGGGATGATGGGTTATTGCTTATTTAGACTCGTAAACTTTGAAATTTGGCTTTGCAAGAATACCTAACACATATTCTTAGAAGACTCACGACAGAAAACATACTTGCTGCAAAGGCAATTTTTTGAGTTTCAGGGCCTAATAGGTGAAAACCCATCATCCCTTGCGCGTTCAGAGTTTAATGTTTTGGATGAGGACAACCTTAATTGAATCAGCTATATTTGTCTGTTTTAAGTATACGCAAAACAATGTAAGGTGACTTGCACTTAAAAAGTTTCATTTTAGCTCAGCTGGCGCTAGGCAACGAGAGAAAAGAAACACGATATTCTTAAAACTCCGGTCTGAATGCGCAGACGAACTGAACTGTTCCCAATTTCATTAGATTGCCGAATTTTTTTAATCGTCTGGCTAATACCCTGTTAACTAGGTATTCTGGATGCAGCATAGTATATTTGACCTATTTGGCTTGGTTATGCAATGAATCAATGGATCAGAATACAGAACTGTGTTGCACAGCATGCAACCTGTAAAATTACATTTTGCAATTAGCGGTGTTTGTATAGCTTTGTATATCGGGCTCGAGTGAGATATATTCTGTCACGAACACCATATTCGACGTATTTGAAAAAAAAATTCAATTTTCCTAAAATTATATCAGGTGATTTTAATTGGCCACGCTGCCTCCTTGGTTCATGGGAATGGAGACCCAAAGAAGCCTTCGCAAATCTTTGTACTTTACAAGTGTAACAGTATTGTATATATACAGTATAATAACAGCCTGCTGTGAGAGTCAGAAAACCGTTACATAACATGCATGCATTGCATGCATAACATTTCATACAGGTCTAGGAGTTCCTATCGCGACGAAAGTGCTGCCTCAAAGTAAAATTACGGGGATATTTCGTGTTGTTTACAAACGTAGTGAATGAGCACTTAGGGCTGAAAGGCTTTGATGAAACTTTGAAGAAATAAACAAATACATTCTATTAGTGTGTTGCTTTTGCATATTAAAGATTGTGCAAAATATTGGGCACGAGTGAATTCTGGATAAACGCAAGTAGTTTCATGAATAGTGTGCTGCCTTGCTACGCTTGGCCAGAATTAGCCAATTAATATGAAAATACATACACGAGTTTGTTATTCTTTTTATCAATAATAAAATTTGTGATGAATTAACAACATTCATTGTACTGTGTCTGTAAACTAATCTACATATTAATACAGAAACCATTCAAAACTACGATTCTATATATACAGTATTATTACACTGCAAACTATTGTATTTAAATCATGTGTGTCTCTACTCTATGAAATTAATGGAGTAATATCTTTGGTAAATAGCCGAAGATATCATTTCAGTTACATTCCGCAAGCTCTCAATGAGACAATAACACACACCGCCTGTTCGCAGGTACTTCGGTTTGCAGCCCACTTGCCTGGCTATACAATGATCTACATACGTCCCTGGACCGGCATTGTCCATTTTTTTGGTTTCGATTTTAAGTTTTACAGCAAAGTGTTTCAGAATCTTGCACATTTAAAGTTTGTAAAATATGCCCGAGTAAAAAGCGGCATATTTTTAATAAGAGCAAATTTTATCTTCGAGAATTTATTGGCTGTCAACGTTGTCTGACTTCCATTGCTAAAATATGTGTATCTTATCAAGTGGATAAAGTTTCTGTCTTTGTCTTTGACTTTTGAGATATATACGTTTCAATAATGCAGAGAATGCGGACTTTCATAATTGTCTTCCTGTTACGTACTGCATGTTCAGCCAAGGGGTAAAATTGAAGTGGTAAATCTTTGTACCATTGCCAAAAGATATATTAAGCATGCTATCAAAATTTCAAGATAGTTGGCAAGAGGACGATAAACACGGGCATAAAATCTGGTTTAAGCAGTGGCGTAGCCAACGGGGGGAAGCCCCTGCCCACAATGATATCCAAAACTGTCCTGGTGAAAAGTTGAAATCCATAAAATATTTTCTTCTGATTCCTCTCAGAATGAGAGAAATGCAGTTCTACAGACCCTATAGAAATACAAAATTCCTCCAGGGCAGAATGCCCCCGGATGCAGCTACAATCTTGGACATAACTGGTTGAGACTATTCCCCCCTATAGAAAATTCACATATTTTTATGATAAACTCCATGATGAATCATGTTGCCCTTCTTAAACCCCCGCTCCCCCAACTCAATGTTGAGCTTGTATCATGGTATATTACCAAAAGTTGTTTCGGCGTTGTTCACAACATTGAACTGGGGGGGGGGGAGGGGGAGACAAAGTTTGTTTTGTCAATGTTCAATAACGTTGTAATATAGGCTGGAATGGTCTCAAGGGTTTTGTCCAAGATTGTAGAATCCTCGCGTCATTGATGCTCGTGTTCTGTGTCCCTCCCCCACAAGTCCCACCCCCACAACACCCTGCAGGCTACGCCACTGAGTTTACATTGCTGAGTGACATTACAATAACCTATATTATGTCAAAAGGAATAGCCAAAGTTAAGCAGGGTTACCTTGGTAATGAAACGGCTGGTGGTTCAAAGGATGTCAATGACACAACTACATCGAAATCCAAACTATCTACTGTACGTATTAAAAATCAATACGAAAATGTGTTTCTCAAGCCTATTAAAACTTCTTTGCCCATCTACAAATAATTATTATATCATCGTATAAAGGGCACCTTGTATTAACAAATATTCTCTCTTCTTCTCATCTTTGCGCGTTTACCTTGGATAAACAGAGTTCCTAAAGAGATATGGAGAAATTATTATAATTTTACATAACGTCTTATGGATTATAAATTAAAATAGTGAAATGGGACCTGTTTCCATTACACACGCAAAAATCTCACATCTTGTAACAAGTCTGCCAACAAGCCGTCGACAAGATATATTCGCACTGCTTGTCACAAGTTGTCAACAGGTTTGGAACAAGCTGTTAACAATTTGTAACAACAACCTTGTTGATATTATCAGGCTTGTTACAAGGTTGTTTCAACAAGTCCGATACAGTATGATATAGCAGTATTGTTACAACCTTGTGTCGTCAACCTTGTAACATCCTTGTTATATCATGGCTGTAACAAACTTATTAGCACAGTCTTGTGACAAGTCTGCCATCAAGCTTGTTACAAGTTGTTAACAGCTTGTTTCAAACTTGTTACAACAAACTGGGAACAAGCAGTGCGAACACAACTTGTTGACAGCTTGTGAACAGACTTGTAACAACTTGTTTGCAGACTTGTTACAAGCTGTGCGTTTTTACGCGTGTATAGTCATTAAAGGTGATCTACAGTCCGATCTGCGCATGTGCACAAATGAGCCCACTTTTTATGATACAAACAGTTTAACTATGTTTTGAGTTCTTGAAAAGCCTAATTGTTGTTTCTTGATCATTTATTATACTCTGGAAGCTTGACAATTTAAATAGTTGTCGAATAAAGCTCAATATTTTGGACACAAAAATGTAAACAAAGGCTTTGTTTACACACGGACTGTAGATCACCTTTAAACATTTGATGAAAGCGCATGCATTATTGCACAAATTACTGATTTATATATTGGGCTCTTGAATGTGAAATCACAACACATATTTGTTGATTTACAAGCTTTCGTTGGTGACAGGTTGCGAGATTTTTACGTGTGTAATTGATTGAATAAAAGATTTTTGCCAGACCTGATATTCAATGATTCTGTCAATGCGCTGACAGTTAACTGAGAGAAAACATTTGTAAGGCGTAAAAAAAATACCTGTGGTTCCGGTTCCCGACCGACCCTATTATTTTTTCAACGTGATTGACCGTGCGACCCTATTTTCTCCAGGTGGTTGCGGGTTGCTCATACAGCGTGCCAAAATGGCGTCTGTTGTCACGCTAATTATTGAACCAAATTGCCTAAATTCGTCCATAGGAAATACGCATCTCTAGTTAACATTGATGTCGGGACTCTACTGAAAATCGCCCAGCAAAAACCCGCCAAAACCATGAAAAAAATATTCAAAAAAAAAATTATTTCCGACCTACCGACCCTATTTTTTTCACGATATGAAACCGGAACCACAGGTATTTTTTTTACGCCTAAATTATGCACACGCTGATCAACAGTAATTAACACTTAATTTCATAGTCCATAAATCACGGTATATAGGTGTATATTTAATAATTTCTCTCTATTTGTCGAGCTGATTAGTTGGGAGAATAAAAAGTTTAAATAAGTATAAAACTTTTACCCCTGGTTATGCCAAACTTTATTTCTGGAGAGAGAAAATAAAGAGATATCATTAATATCACGGACTCGGTTAGACAGTATATATACCAGGATCATTTTTCGAAGGTTCGTCGTTAGCTAAGCCTTACCTGTAAACTAGCCTGCAAAGCAGGTGTTTTATGTGGAGACCCCACGCGTTTCAAATAAAACGCCTGTTTTGCAGGCTATAGCTGTACCAAAGCCTTTTCATGAAAAGACATACTTAAGTTTGTATTTTTATTACATGAAGAACGGCATTTTACCTGTCAGCCATTTCCATTCTAAAAGAAATATAACATGTATTAGTAGTTAATAAACGTATCAATTCCACCTATTAATACCAATACGTTTCTAACGAATCTGGTCAAACAAATATGAGAGTTGACGAGAGTTAACAGTCACGCATTGTTATTGGAGACATTTTTTTTATTGGAGACATTTTTTTTATTGGATTTATTAGGATGGAAAACATTAAAAGAACAACGATTAAAAATAGGTACGCTTGCGTACATGTGGTTAGCCTATAGGATTGTCAATTGTTATAGCGTCATATAGCTGCGCATGCGCAGGCTAACCACAAAAACTAAAGCCAAAACGATGTTTAAGATACTTCATAATATGGGGGCTAAATTGCCTCAAAGACTTTCATTTTCAAAAATGAAATATTAAATCATAATCTCCGTGACAGCTCAACCACATTACGGTTGCCAAAGCCACGTTCGAACAGTTTAAAAAAGAGTTTCATGTATGACGGAGCTGTCATATGGAACTCTTTGCCAGAAATTATTAGAGGAAGCAAAACGCTATCAATTTTCGAAAGGAAAATCGCTACCCATTCTTACTAAAGCATGAATGTAAATAGTAAACTAACGTATATTATATAGTATATTTTCTTTTTCACATATATGCATGTATTTTCTTACTACCTTTATCTTTTTTTCTTGTAAATTTACTTTTGTTCACACGCCCATTGTGGAAACCAGCTTTAGCTGACAATATTAGTATAGGTAATCATGCGATGGCGAGTACAATTAGGGATTAGTAGTACGAGTGATGTTTGGAAATTTTGCCAAAATTGGACGAGCCGCCGGGGCGAGTCCAATTTGGCAAATTTCCAAACATCACGAGTACTATTAATCCCTAATTGTACAAGCAACATCGTATGATTACTTGTTTATTATTAGCATGACAAAATTGGATACGTGTAATGTAAACATCATATTCTCTCGCCAAAGCCCAGTTCTGCCAGACTTTCAACCAAAATTTGGTGCTTTTGTTCGTATTTTCATATAGTTCCTTCACGGCAATTTCATTTCACATCTGTGTTTAAAATACCTTTCCGCCATTTTGTTTGTTTTGGGAAAATCATTAATTGTACTGCATGCGAGTACAATTAATGAAATAATTGTACTCCTCTCAACCAATCAGCATCCAGTAATTCTGTCTTGCTAATAATAAGCGTGGTTAAATAAAGTTTATCATCATCATCAAATAGTGTTGGGAAAGCATTAAGAACAGCTAACCAAGGTCACGTGACCGCCAACTCTCATACACTCACGCCCACGTTTCATCCAGCCTTAGTATACAGTATCTTCATTCCGAAGTTGATGAGTGGACTGGGGACGAGTGTTAAAAAGTGGCCAAATTAAGAAATGAACCAAGTCACTAAAAAGACCACCTCAAAATTAGTAAGTATACAAAGTTTGAAGACGTTTACATGAATACCCTTCGAATAATAAGCTTTCGAAAATTGTGAAATTACTGATTGAAAGATTGTTTTTGGGACGCGCGTCCCAAAGACAAAAATTATAATACATTTCATAGTAAATATCACCATTTTCGAAAGCTTATTATTCGAAGGATATTCATGTAAACGTCGTCAAACTTTGTATACTTACTAATTTTGAGGTAGTCTTTTTAGTGATTTGGTTCAATTCTTAATTTGGGCACTCTTTAACGCTCGTCCCCAGTCCACTCATCAACTTCGGAATGGCTAATTAGACTGAAATTGATCCAAGTGAAGATTTTGAGGTCAATAAGAAGTTATTATAGTTGGTTTATACTATCAACTGAAGGTCAAAGAGTTGGCAATGGCTCATTTGAGGCAACGAATGTTTCGGTTTCCAAAGGCAATATATCCTATTAGGGGGATTGTTTCCCCACAATGGCAGACACTAGGGGAGGGGGAGGGCATGATTGCTGAATAACTGTGTCACATTAATTTCCCAACCATAAAATAATTGTTAGGCTACAAATTAAGCTAAATATTGTATGAACCTTATTGCACAAAAAAGTTGGAAAAACTAAGATTTCCGGCTACAAAAGGTAGTTATATGCAGGCGGGCTAATCCCCAAATATTTCGCGAGAGAATACCAAATGAATACAATTGGTAACAGTTTAAAAATAATAAATGCACCTGAATCACAGAAGCAATATACTTTGCAACTTATCACTAAATATCGTCCCGTTAAAAACCTAATCTACACATACCCGTCGCCATGTCTGTCAAATCCTTCTTCAAATCTCATTCTCCTGTAATGTTTGGCCAATTTAACACTCAGAATGATAGCTGGGATGTAAAAGAACAGACAGAAGCCAATAGAGAACCAGTAGCCATTCTGTAATTTAGATTTAAAGCTGGTTACTTCGTTTGATGGCGTGAGAATTTACCAATTCTTAAATTTATGCACAATTTGCATTGTGCACAAGCAATTGACAATTTCGACAATAACGACGCCATCTTGAAACACCTGTGGTTTTCACCATAGAGATTATAAATAACACTAGAGGAGGCATCGAGTTTAAAAATTGGGAACGCGGCTAATGGGGGGCAAATTCAAGTCCCGGATATAAAATCGTACTCTAATTGGCTGATTTGAAACTCGTCACCAATGGGAACACGAATACACATCCGGGACTTGAATTTGCCCCCCAATAGTAATTAAGGAATTAAGATTACAATGCCTCCTCTAGTGTTATTTATAATCTCTATGGTTTTCACGGTAATTCAACTTTTTAATAGACTACATTCTCACGAGACCGGACGGATTCGAAACCAGACACGAATGGACCCTATTCCCTAATGAACAAAATTTTGATCTAGACAAGTCTAGACAAAAATTTCATCACAGCTTGAAAGAGCATCACAAAATTAGTAATATTACGAAGTTTCGTTGCGAAATGTTTAAAATGCGGATATAGCCCTGCGAAGTTTGCCGTTTTTCAGTCATTTTGTATTACGCGCGGGAAATTGATACCTTTTTTCAGAAAGCGGTAGGGAATAAGGAATAGGTCCATTAGACTGCTTCCACTTGTCCATACGAATTGCGCTCTCAAACTGTGCTCGAATCCTTCCGGGTTCCAGGGCAGAAAAAAAGACTTTTCTTTCTGGGGGCACAACCTGGAGACAAAACTGGAGGCACAACCTGGAGGCACAACTTGCAGACCAACTGAGTATTTTTGTGCTAAATCTGTGCCTAAACATATATAGTGTTCTAACTGACCATGGTTTTAAATTGAAGGAATGATGTCTGTCAACCATAAGTTGCTGGGCCAATAGTGGGGCATGCGTCTTAGGTTTCCTTTAAATTTTCAAGTTGCAAATCCGCTTCAAACAAAAACGAATTTCCTGCAGCTGTTTAACATTTCATGCGAGCAGTACTCGCATGCTTGCCTATTTTTTCCACTCGTGCTACTTTCATGAGGTTCGTGTGTGAACGCGAGGTAAAACCGTGCAATTTATCAACGCTTTCCAACAGGCCACTTCCGAGTTACGGTCGAATGCCGCCACAAACAGTAGCCTGAGAACTAGCCTTCGCGATAAATTGTAATGTTTCTATAGCAATAACTTTGCATTGAGCCTCGAATTGGTGTTATTGTTCTTGACACCTAAAGCCGTGTGAAAGGAGTATACGTGAGCAATCCAAAACAAAAGTACATACGATGGGTAATTTAGAGGAATGTTATAATTTACTTACAAATGGGTATACTGTATCACGACAAACCAAGTTGATTACAGCATCGTAAACATCAGTTAAAATTCTGCAGCGACCAAGATCAGTTCCAACCTAAACACACGCCGCACATGTATCTACGTAGTTAAAAAGTATAATACCAATCGCTTTCCTATTAAAGTCTAATACATATAGTCATGAATAAATATTAAAAAAAAATTCAACAGTTACATAAAACTGCAATCTATTAATATGAAAAATTTAATCAGTGCATTCAATATTTAAAGTGCCCATGCAAGAAATTTTTAATGCAGTTAAATGCAATTTAACTAAGTTATTAAGCAAAAAGTTGGTTTTTATTTATTTATTTTAATATTTATATATTTATTTCTTTTTTCACTGACCCAGTCAGTGTGACAGGTGCTTGGGCCTGGTGTGGGGGCTGATGGCTTGGTTGCAGGGAACTGCGAGCCATGAGAGTGGTATGTTTGTCGGGGGCTGGCTTTGGAAGTGGAAGCCCCTGGATGACCCAGACACATTATGTAGTGTGACATCATTTAAGTCATATTTGCATGCCAAACAAAGTCCAATATCTTCATATACAGGGAAGATAACAAAGTTTTAGAAAAAAAGGTACATTATGATCTTTGCAATTCAATCATAAAAAATTCTCGCATATAGGCACTTTAACACACACATTCAACCGACACACACATTCAACCAGCAAGCTATCCTTTTTTGATGTACCCTGTTCCGGTGCTATCGTGCACCCACCAACACTACCTTGTGATATTAATTTGTATACTTACAGATTTTACGGCCCAAGCCGAAGTTTGGTCAATATAGCCCAAAATTTCGCCGTTAAACGTTCGAACTGACTAAAATAACAACAAATGAGAAATTACATTCACGTAACAAGTTGTTAAGAAGTTAATGACATGCAACCAGCTCGTCATAGGGCGAAAACATATTTTATCTATTATCTGGGAACCAAATAAAATTGTACTGTACATTAGTCATGTATTAAGTCCATTAAATTTTTAAAATGAGAGCGCAAAACAGGGATGGATTTACTGGGGGGGGGGGGCGCACCCCCCCCCCTAGCCCTGGCCAGAGGGAGTGCTATTTTTCATGATAAAGCAAAAAATAATTATTAGACACAAAATGATATACAGTAATTTGAGTAATAACATGATGATAAGCGAACTGTGAGCAACAATTACAATTCAAATACTGTAGTCAAGTAAGACTTTGCAGTAGTGAAGCAAGTTGATGGGCGGGCGGCACACATGACTGACACAACTCGGCACCAGAACTGGCAGAGCACCCCCTACCAGATTATGCTGGATCCAGTTGCTGAATATGAAACGCGTGTATCTGCAAAATTTTCTGCGAGATAACAAATTGGCCAAAATTTTCTGGGAACCTTGTTCCCCAGTTCCACCAAATTTTCGCCCTCTGAAGCTCGTAGCAACTTGTTGTGAACAGTCTTTGTCATTCTTGTTGGAACAACTTGAAGCAAATCTGTTACCATCATCAACCTTGTAACAAGGCGATAACAACTTGTTCCAGACTTGTCACAACAACTGGGAACATGCAATGGGAACACATCCCAATAACGGCTTGACAACAACCTTGTTTGCTGATCTGATGTTTTTACGTGTGCTGTAGGTAACAAAATGGAAACTTACCCTAAATTGTAAACCAACAGGCTTATAATAGAGACCTTAAGATTGACGTTTACGGCAAACGTCAAACCGCTAGCGAAGTTTTTCATTTTACAACTCTATTATTATAGCTTTTACACCAGTTTTGAAATATGTTAAACTTATTAAACATGTGCTCTTTAGCAATGATTTCAGAAAACAACTTAATCACTAGTCATGCCATTCACCAAAGCAGTAAATTAAGATTTGGCGTTTGAAGTTGGCGTTTGGTGTATAAATCTCATGCTTGAACTGCTACGAGGGCTTGCAGTCGTTAAAGCATCAAATTTAGAGACCTTAAGATTGACGTTTACGGCAAACGTCAAACCGCTAGCGAAGTTTTTGATTTTACAACTCTATTATTATACTTTTACACCAGTTTTGAAATATGTTAGACTTATTAAACTTGTGCTCTTTAGCAATGATTTAAGAAAGCAAATTAACCACAAATCATGCCATTCACCAAAGCAGTAAATTAAGATTTGGCGTTTGAAGTTGACGTTTGCATGGCATATAAATTTCATGCTTTAACGACTAGAAGCCGTCGTAGCAGTTCAAGCATGAAATTTATACGCCAAACGCCAACTTCAAACGCCAAATCTGAATTTACTGCTTTGGTGAATGGCATGACTAGCGGTTAATTTGCTTTCTTAAATCATTGCTAAAGAGCACAAGTTTAATAAGTTTAACATATTTCAAAACTGGTGTAAAAGCTATAATAATAGAGTTGTAAAATCAAAAACTTCGCTAGCGGTTTGACGTTTGCCGTAAACGTCAATCTTAAGGTCTCTTTTATACGCCAAACGTCAACTTCAAACGCCAAATCTTAATTTACTGCTTTGGTGAATGGCATGACTATATAGTGGTTAATTTGCTTTCTTAAATCATTGCTAAAGAGCACAAGTTTAATAAGTTTAACATATTTCAAAACTGGTGTAAAAGCTATAGTAATAGAGTTGTAAAATCAAAAACTTCGCTAGCGGTTTGACGTTTGCCGTAAACGTCATTACACACGCACCGTACAAATTCATGTTTAGCTCAGCAAACTAGAAGGCAATACATACCCCGTTGACAACATCATTTACATTACTTGAATACTCGCTTTCTGCTTCCACAGCCTTTATCAATGTATCATTTGCAAGAGTCTGAAAACAAATTGCGCATGTATAGTGGTAATAATTAGGATCAATAGTACATTGTTC